AGGGGTAAATGAGGACACCATTCTGTTAACTGTAAAAAAATTTGGAGATCGGTCCTAGGACAAACTGCTTGTGATGTTCATGCACATATAATGCATTCATAGAGTATTCAGACCTCTTAATGTTTTCATGTTTTTTTTTTAATGTTGCAATTTTTTTCATATCAGTCTACACTCAATACCCCACAATAAAGGAAAAATCATAGTTTTGAAAACTTTGCAAGTTTATTAAAGGAACACTATAGGGTCAGGAACCCAAACATGTATTCCAGACCCTATAGTGTTTAAGGCACTATTAAGGTGGCTTACCTTAGAAAAGGTGAAAACTCATCTTATTTCCAGCACCACACGGGTCTACCGATGCTGGCCCGCCCCGATCCACGTCCATGATGACATCATAAGAATTGCTGATTTTTAGCCAATCCAATGTTTTCCCATAGGGAAAGCATTGGATTGGCTGAAATTGGCAAGGAGACAGGGCCAAACACTGTTTTGGCCAATCATCACCTCCTCATAGAGATGCACTGAATCAATGCATCTTTATTAGGAAAATTCAGCATCTCCATGCATAGCGTAGAGAAGCTCCAATGGCAGTGCTGCCTACTGTGAGGAGTGGCCACTTGGAGGTGTCCCTAGGGGTAATGTAAACACTGGCTTTTCTCTGAAAAGTCAGTGTTTGCATGAAAATGCCTGAAGGTAATGATTATACTTACCAGAACAACTACATTGAGCTGTAGTTGTTCTGGTGACTATAGTGTCCCTTTGAAAAGGGAAACTTTGACATCTGTATGCAAACACTTTGCTATGAAATTTATCTCATATTTTTCACGTTTCTCTTGATCATCTTTGAGATGTTTCTACACTTTGAGTGGAGTCCACCTGTTGCAAATTCATTTGATTGGATATGATTTGGAAAGGCACACATCTGTTTATATAGGGTCTCACAGCTGTAAATGCTTATCAGCCAAAACTAGACATGTGCAATTCGGTATGGTCCGAATGGAAATTCGGACAAATTTCGGACATTCGGATGCTTCTGGAAGTGCCGAACCAAACCACGAAGTGCAGAATTTCGGAAGTGCCGAAGTGCTTCGGACTTCTGAAAAGTGGCAAAACGGATAGAGGTAGGATTGGGGTTGGGTTAGGAATAGGGGTTGGGGTAGGGTTAGGAATAGTGTTAGGGGTAGGGTTAGGAGTAGTGATGGGGTAGGGTTAGGAGTAGGGTTAGGAGTAGAGTTAGGAGTAGATTTAGGAGTAGGGTTCGGGGTAGAGTTGGGTTAGGATTAGGGTAGGGTTGGGCTAAGAGCAGGGTTAGTGGTAGTATTTGGGTTGGGTAAGATGTAGGGTTACGGTTGGTTTCGGAGTAGGATTAGGGTTAGGATTATTCCTTTTTGTATTAGGGGGTTAGGGCAATTGGATTAGGAGGGTTAGGGTACCTCTACCCCTAACCCTAAACTACCTCTAACCCTACTCCTAACCCTCCTAATCCAACCCTAACCCTACTCCTAATTCTACCCTAATCCTACACCTAACCCAACCCTACTCCTTACCCTACTCCTAACCCAACCCTAACCCTAACCCTACTCCTTACCCAACCCTTACCCTACTTCTAACACAACCCTACTCCTAACTCTAACCCTACTCCTAACACTACTCCTTACCCAACCCTAACCCTACTTCTAACCCAACCCTAACCCTACACTTACCCAAAGACCCGAAGTGCTGAATTCCCAAAGTGCCGAATTGCCGAAAGTGACGAATTTCGGAATGCCGAACGGAACAAAATTTTTTGCGCCCATGCACATCCCTAGCCAAATCCAAGCCAAAAGGTCAAAGGAACTGCCTGCAGAGCTCAGAGACAGGAATGTGTTGAGGTACAGATCTGGAAAAGCCTACAGCACAGAGGGTTCCCAAGAGCACAGTGCCTCCATTATTCTTAAAGGAATTAGTTTGGAGCTGCCCAACGGCAAAACAAA